TTTCAATTGGGATCGCAACTTTGGCTGCAACGATGAATTAGAATGAAGCGGATTGTCGGCGACCCGTCCAATTCAAACGTGCATTTTCTCCTGCAGTAGTCCGCCAACCACAAGGGAGCGAAAGCATAGCTGAGCCCCCCCATCCCCCCGGTTGTGTCCTGTTACCAGCTCGGGCGTTGCAAAGCGAGTGTTGGACTTAAGCCGCTCTTTTGCACCCACTCTCCAGAAGATTCTATTTCCCTAAATTTGCGATGAGCGTCATTTATTTGGCTGTTTTTTTTTCACCAAACACAGCAACAGAAATTCCACCTGCCCCGACACTCAACACCAATCTGGAGCTTTGCAGGCCGCGGCTGAAAACGAGTCAGCACACCTGCTGCCGGAGGCAGCAGCTGCGGCCCCCGTGACACACAAAGTCCACAGAAATGGCCTGAGGTTCAAAGGTCGTCACCTCTGCGGCGCTCTGTCTTCTCAGCAGCACGGCCCATCCCGTCGCTTTTCATCCCCCCTCAGGGTAGTGTGACAGCACCCGTGTCACAAGTCTGCACGTCAAGCCGCTCACGTCCACACAGCTGGTGGGTGATTTAAAAGCAGGGGGTCAAGGTCAGGCAGCAGGTGGGTTTTTCGGTGACCGTTGCCTGCCGACACCAGCAGGCTTGATTCGCTTCTTTTTTTTTTTTTTTGCTGCCTCAGACCTTGGGAACTCAAAGTGGGGCTACAACGCGTCCGTCACCTCACTTTTCCATTTCAGATGCGTCGGAGGTTTGACGTTTTATTTCTGTGCTGTTTCCGGTGTGTGAAGTTGGATCGACAGCACAAACACATTGCGTCCCATTTTCGTGCCCGGCGCAAGTCAAAACGTGCGCACGAGTGGAATTTTCTTCCTTTTGGTATTTTTGTACAGAAGGGCGACTGCACCGTTGTGGGAGTGAACAGAGTCGGCTCGTTTCCCGGCCAATGGGAGTGGCTTCTCACGTTCCCTTCAAATTCGGCACAGTTGACATCGCGGAAGATCAAAGCAGACAAACTACGTTCATGAGGAGCTGCAAGCAGACCTCAACGGGTAGATGATCACAAATGAAGTCATTGTTTGTGTCCGTCTGTGACACAGGCCCTGCATCGCTGTGTGGTGGCACTCGAGGGATGCTTCAGAAGCACAATCAAGATGATGATCGGAACAAGGCGTTCATTCAATGAGCTGATTTCGACGAGGACTTTCGAGTCAGAAAATTGTCAGGTGGGCAGGGAGCGTTGAACAGAAAATGTCCTTGGTCCCGCCCCCGTCAGAAAATGAAGAAATGTCAGTTTTGAGGGCAGCGCACGTGAGCTTGTGTCGGAAAAGCGAGCCCCTCATGTCAAGTTCCACTGGGACTTCCTGTTTGTTGGAGTCCGACTTTTGGTGTGTCTTTTGAGGCAAGTTCCTGGTCTTCGACGTTCGATGAACAGTTCTGACCTTCACATTTGACTCTCTCACCAACTGTTTTTGGGCTTGGGCGTTGGACGGGAAGTTGCGACATCTCCTCGTTTGACTGTGTCATCGATTAACACTGACTGGACGCTTGTGCCATGCTATTGCTCCAACTACTGCCAGCACCAAAAGAAACAGATGGATTATGATGCTGCGCTGACAAAGGCTGATCAGCCCTTCACTATGCTCCGCCCCCGCCCCCGATTTAACGCTGCACTTTTTCTCTAGCAGGTGTAAGGGGGCTGCTGAGTTAGCCAAACGGGATGACTTTTTGGGGGCCTGCTCAAGAATGTCAACGGAACCCTTGCGACGGGGCTTCTTGACCTGCAATCAAAGCCCCCTGACTTGGTGGGGGGGGGGGTCCGATTGAGCACATGTTACTCATCCACCTGCACGCTGACAGGCAGACGGGCCGTGTCACTACAATCCCAAACAGCCCTGTGCCCTTCCATGACCTTAGCCAAACCCCCCAACCCACTCCGGATGACCCTCGGAGACCCTCGCAGCCATCTGTTACGGGGGCTTTGGGACGTGTTGATTAGCTGGTGGATGGGGGCGGTGGTGAAGAGGTGCAGTCGATGCCGTTATCCCCGTGGACCTGCGATGCATCTTTTGGCTTGAAGCGGCCTTTTGGGGCAATTCCAGGCCTTACACGCGTTAGCCATTGTGAGAATGCGCCACACTCATCTGGTAGTAAGGAAGCCAAAGGATGGACGAGAGCTTAGGTGGTAGGTCACGAAGAGAAAGAACGCAGGAAGGGAGGTCAAGGAGGAAGGCTCGGTAGGTAAAGTTGCATGCCAAGGGAAGTAGGGAGCCCCGAGAGAAAAGGTAACTAGGTAGTGGAAATTGAAAGAAAATCAGCCCTTGACACCAAACCAAGAAGTTCCAAGACCCCATGCCCAGAATACAACAGGAAGTCGGCCAATTGGGTTCGAATTCGTCATTTTGGGCCAATTCCAGGTCTGGTTCTTAGCCCATCACCTTTGATGGACTTTGCCCCAATGTGCCCCGATCTGGAACAGGCAACCAGATGAGGTGTCAAGGGTGTCAAAATGTGATCCTTATTTTCAGGGTTTGCATGGAAAAGAGAGCAACTTGATCAGGGCTCGCAGCTTTCACGATCTTTGCGTCGGTTGATCGGGTTGATGGCACGGCATCCGTTTCCACTCCCAGGCGCCACCGTGACATGAACAATGAGTCTCAAAGTCACACAATGCCATCGATCAGAGCCCCCCCCTCCCCAAATAAATAAATAAACATCCTCAAAATAGCACGGGCATATGCACATCAGACTAGGTTTTGTATGCACGTGTGTTGACTCACAAAGTCACATGATATGCCATCGATCAGAGCCCCCCCCCCCCCCCCCCCCCACAAATAAATAAATAAACAAATAAACATCCTCAAAATAGCACGGGCATATGCGCATCAGACTAGGTTTTGTATGCACGTGTGTTGACTCGGCTTTTGGGAAAACGCTTTGGGGGTTGCCAATGAATGAATGACATCTCTGTGAGTGCATTCAAGCCACTTGAGTGGTGTTGATTTTAGCCAGAAGCAGAGGCAAGACACCCGCCTGACATGTCTTGGCACAAAACCAACCGCTGAACATTTGTAGCCTTTTCAATTGCACATTCCCGCCAAGCAGCGGTAACGGACAGGGCCGTGTTGTTCCACCATATGTGTTCTGTTGGTAAGAAGAAAAAAAAAAATCACGATTATCGACGCTAACATGAGCATTCCAGTGGCCTTTTCTGTTCATGTTAGCAGAGAGCTAACTGGCCAGTCTCAGTGTAGCGGGAGTTCGCTTATTTTAAATACAGCTTCTGAAGACAGACATGCATGGATTATAGCAGGTAGGTAACAATACCGGTTGGTTGCACGCCACGTGTTTTGCCCGGCAAAGCGACTGACGCCAGCAAGTGCGGCGAGACAAATGACGACTCAATCATGTCTTTACTTTTCATCGGCTCAGAGTTTACGTCGGTGAGATTTATTGGGCCTGATGGTTTGCTTGACGGCACGCCGCATTAAGATCGGTCAAATTAATTGATATTCCAAATGAAATGGCATTTGCCCCCATCTTGTGGTATTTTAAGGAATTACAGAGACGGCGCGATCCGTGCGAAAAATCAGTCATCCCTGCGGAAGACGGGCTTTCTGCACTCAGGAAAGCTTCATGAAACAACGCCGTTTACACCAAAACCGAACTGAGTTCAAATGGCCGAGTCGTCCGCGAGTGCGAGTCAGTCGGCTCAGAGAAAAGGTGTCAAAATGACAGCCAGAAAGCAGGCGAAGCACAAGGGGGTAAAACAGAAATCAGAGGCACACGCAGATTAAAGGGATTACCCCCTTGTCACGCACCCTTGCCGCCCCAAAATAGACCCCCCCCCTCCCTCCCACCCGTTTCCCAGCACAGTCCCCTGTGGAGAACGCGGTTTCAAATCACAACTCGATTCGGTGCTGTGAGAGGTGAGGGCCTGGAAACTGCGCGTCTCATTTATCTAAAGCTTCAACTATGATATTTAGTCACTTTTTTTTTTCTGTGGAGTGAGCTTGTCTACGCGACAGAATTCCACACTTCAAACAATGACTTCATTTGGCGAGACTTCCAATTTCAGTCAAGGTCGAAATGTCTCCGCTCAAATCAAGAGTTGAGACCTGACGAAGCACGGATGCTGCTTTCGGTGCGTTGAGGAAAGGGAAACACTGACACCGTGTGGTTGAAATGCGGCACGACACGCAGAAGGCGGCAAGCTCACAAAGAAAAGCCACATTTTTTTCGTTCTTCTCTCTTTCTCGAGGTTCAGACCGTTTCAGTTAAAACACTGTCTGTCGGGTCGACTTGCAAGTACAGTCCACAGGCCCTGTTGCTTTTGGAATCATGCCTGTCTGCCACAGGGGGGCCAATCTGCCGATCGGACTGGTGCTTGATCGCGACCCGAATTGAGCCAAGGACAGCCTTGATTTAAGAAAAAGTTCATGGCACACCACCAAATAGACACACAAAAAGTGTATATGTACAAAAAAAAAATTGCTTGCACATTTTCAAAAAAGCTGCTTTGCGCTGTTTGAAACCTTTTGCCATCTCGTGGAAGCACATTTAATTCATCCGCCTGTCATTGTACGTCACTGGCATAGATCGATGAACAAAGAAAGACACATGACGTGTAGGACAATAAATGACTTTTAAACGGATAAAACTGACACTTCACACGAAGGCGGCGCGGTGGGCGGCAATCACAACACCAACCAGACGGCTTTGGACGGTAATTATTATTCAGATTGTGCATCATCATCATCATCAAAGGTGGATGCATCATTTTCACTGCAGTTAAGTGCTCGACTTGGACAAGGAAGATTATGTTGGCATTTCTTAAACAATAACTCAATGATGGACTCATGTGAACCATCTCAAATGGGATTATTTGATGTGGGGTGGGGGGGACTAGTGTAATCAAAATAAATCAGTGATACAGTCATTTTACACATTGTATCACACACACACAAATTATATATATATATATATATATATAACACACACACACACACACACACACACACACACAGTATATCATTCTGGTCTTGTTTCAGTCATCATTTTACATCAGTAATGTTTACAAGTTAGCATCGAGCAACAAAGCAAAAAATAAATATCTTCAATGGAAGTTTTCTTCTCTATTTATATCTGTGTATACATATATATGTCGCGAGCTAGCTTACTTTTGGGTTGGGTGTGAATGTATAGTTTTGGCCAGCTGCTGCAAGTGCACTAAAAACAGATTTTAAACAAAACAAAAGAGAAGCTCATCGGCAGTGTAATGGCAGACTGCTTTTCTATCGAGCCACTGACACACATAACACATAATACTTTCTTTTTTGTGTGTGTTTACCTTTGCGTATGATGTAAAATACATATGTGAGCGGTACATTTTTGCGTGATTTTATGTTTTCAGGGATCAAGATTTTGCATATCCGTTTCTGATACTTACGAAATCCTGAAACGCCAAATGTTTCGTTTTCCCTCGGTTTTTGTTTGGTTTTGTTTTTTCATAGAAAAGCTGTTTAAAAAAAGATGTCAGGCAACCAGAAGTCTTGGAATAACAGTCCCGCCCATAGAGACAAAGTATTTACACACAGCACATAATGGGCTGATAAAAAAAAAAAAAAAAAAAAAAAATAGATCCCTGTAGCGTGGTGTTTTCGTGAGCTGTCAATGCTGAGTCATTGACCGACAGTATCAGTACATACAGAATGCAAGAATCCAGCAGCCACGTTTGTGTTTTGACAAAAGAACACTTGCAATCCTCCCACCTGTCGCGTAAGGCCCGTGACTCCTGAAAAACAAACAAAAGGAACAAAACCTGTCTTTGGTTGAGCGCTCAAAAGCTACCAGTGACAATCCACCAAGGTCACACAACTTGACTTTTTTCTTCTCGCAAAATACGCCAAACTCCAAAGCCCCAGACATGACATGAGAGGTCGGGAAAACAAAAACAAAACATTGTGGGCAAGGCGCAAAAGGCTCATTTTTGGGTCGTGGGTTGTGGCGGCACAACTTGGTGAGACGCCGCAAAATGTGACCTGTGTCCTTATGTCGTCCTTTCTTCTTCCATTGTCGTCAGAGTGCCTCTGCCATTGTCTTTCATCGAGCCACTAATGAGCATTTTGTGTCTTTCTCCGGTTATTCATCTTTTTTTGGTTTGTTTAGTTTTTTTGGGGGAGTGCTTTCTGAAATGTCCCCATTTGCCACTAGGTGGCACTGAAGCCCAGGCTAATAGAAAACTGGCACAACATTCCGCAAATATGCTTTCTCCAATTAATTCTGTAAAGATTCAGACGAGATTTGGAAGCGATGAATCAATTGAGCGAAAAAAGCTTTGCATGTTGTCGTGATGGAGAGTTCCCGCATGCAGATATTTAGGGTGCTTTTTTTTCTCCCAAATTACATTTTCTGTGCTGTGAGCCAATGTACGTTTGAGGAATCGGAATTTAAAATGATATTCATTTAAATATATGAAGCAATGACCAAATTAAACGACAACTATTTTGAAAATGGAAACGTTGTTTCAGTTTGGATTTTTTTTAAATGCATATTTCACAACCTTCCGCAAATATGCTTTCTCCAATTAATTCTGTAAAAATATAGGATAGCTGCAGCCCAACTTGGTCGGATGTGTTTTCGCTGTACACTGAAAAAAATGTTGAATTGTCTGGATGCCTCCAGATCTATTTTTTTTTTTTTTTGTTAAGCAGACTATACATCTGCTTCAAAAACGAATCTGGTTCCAGATGATTTTATTGCATGCAAATTCTTGATGAAATAGAATTGAGGAAATTCAACCCAACATTTTTTTCAGCGTGTGCCACAATTCATTATTTTCCCGCCCGCATGACATTTGGCTTCAAACAAAGTGCAAACATTTGGCACGCACTCACGCACTCACTCAGGCCAACCAAACGTTTTTCCCTTCCAGGGAGAGCCAAGGCGCCTCCCATCCCGTCCCGTTGTCCCGTCCGGCTCCGCCCCCTTTCCGCACTTCCGCAGGTCCACTCTGGAGTCGTCCCGTTGTCCCGTCCGGCTCCGCCCCTTTCCGCACTTCCGCAGGTCCACTCTGGAGTCCGTCCCAAAAGAAAAGTGCAAGCAAGATGCACGCACGCACAGCCACGCAAATGCGAAATGAAGCGTCCGCCCGTCTGTCGGTCAACGGAGGGCAAGAAGTGAGCAAAGGCCATTTGTGTGGGAGGGGCGCAGTTGGGTGGGGGAGTGCCAGGTTTGCTTGAAGGTGCTCATCGCTTTTGCAAAGTCACCATCCTGGTGACAAAGTTGACGATGGCGCTGGCGGGCTGCTGGGGGTCCATCTCGGCGAAGAGGTGGCTGACGTTGTCCGTAGTGCTCCCCTGCTTACGCGCCACAAAACCAAATAACCTGCAAACACACACGGATGCCGCTGACAGAGCGTTCGGGGCGAGGGGGTGCAAAGAAATCCGTCTCCATCACTTACTTGGCTGCGCCCCCTTCTGGCCTCTTCCACCTGGAAGGATCGCAAATGTTACCAACTTGTACATGCGGGCGAGGCCCCGGCACGCCCGCCACCCTCGTCGGGATAAAGCGTCTCGGATAATGGACGGACGTTTCACGCGGGTCCGACTAGAACGTGTACTCACTTTCTGTCCTGAGGATCAATATCGCAGAAGGTGACGGTGTTGCAGGGGTAGTGGCGCCGGAAGAAAACCCTGCAAACAAACACGTCAGTGATGGAATAACATTACGGAGCCACTTTCTTTCCCGTGCTCCCTCGGGGTTGGTTTGTTCACGTCAAAAAAATGGTCATGGGTCGGCATCGCGTACTAAATGTTTGGTCCTTCCAAAATAGATTGAAAAATGAACTCAAACCAGATTGATCATTCAAAAGGAAGAAAGAACAAAAGTAAGTCCAGAAGTGGTTTGTTTTCTTCAATTCGTGAACTTGAAAAAGGGTTCGTCTGACCCTTTTTTTTTTTCATTTTTGGTCAGGGGCGAACGTAGCATCAGTTCGTAAACTGAATTTGTAAATGAACAGCTTGAAAAGGATCCACAGGGGAACCCAAGAAGTGTGAATGGGCCTGAGTTCAAAGGAAACATGCGGCGAACGTACTTCCTCTGGTTGTCAGTCAAGGTGATGCCTTGCGAGGACACCTTGAAGTGCACAACGGTGGCGGCGGACGGACAAGCGGCGGCCAGAGTCTCTGATATGGCCTTGGCGATGGCCTGGGGGCCCGTCAGCGACTCCATGTCCACCGAGTTGATGTAGAGCACGTTGCACGCTGCCGGTGAAAAAGGACAGCGAGGAGTGAAAAGCGGCCCCGGAGCGAGGATCTGCACATGCCGCCTGTGCCTTGCGTGCCATTAGTGTGCATGCGTTGCGGGACAAAGCTGAGGTCCAAAGACAATTTGTCAAGAAGGAAATGCCCCCCCCCCCCCCAAAAAAATTCAGCGGCTCTCAAACTAGCCTACCCCCTGTAAAATGGCATTCTTACATGTTGAGACCGGCCCAATAAAATTATCCAAAGCAATGACGCCTCCCTCCTTTGCCTTTGGGACCATTAAATGACGTCAAAAAGTGAAAAAGAAGTCACATATCATACCCGAGCGCCCAAGAGCAGAGATGGTTCAAGGTATAGCTATGGGCTGATACCGGCCTAATTGGAAGTTATGTGACTTGCTGAGGCTGCCGATACCAGCCACCGATAAGAAAAAGTCAAGGAAGTCCACCTCAGCAGCACTTGGCGCTGCACTGCAGCAGTTTGGCTCATGGGCGAATCAGTGCAATTGGATACATCACAAGTAGCGGAGGTATCGGTACTCAAAAAAATGATGACCGGTGCTGGTATCGGTCCGGAAAAAAAAAAAACGTTTGAGAACCCCCGCTCTACAAGCCTCGGAAGACTCCATCCAAAGTCAAGTGATTTGAACAGAAGCATTCACTCTCAATGAAAAACAACGCAGACATGTAGGATGCACATTCCAGACGGAGGTTTGCGAATGCACTCGAGACACACGAGATTTTTACCGTGGGACTCGGCCGGGGCCCTGTGCACTGGAAGAACAAAGACGGCGGCTTGTCAGAGCGATTCCGAAGCAACAGTGACCGCATTCGAACCACGCGGAGTACGTCGCAAGTGTCAAAGTGGGTGTCTGAGGTTTACCTGCTCCTTGTTTCAGTCGGTCAGCCGGCGGGTTGCTTTGCACAACGTCGGGCTCTTCCTCAACAAGATCTACAAAGTGGAAGCAAGCGGTTAGCTACTCGGAGGTCTTTCATCTTGGTCATCCGTGCAAAAAAAGTCACGTCGAAAAAAAATTCAAGCTGCGAGTCACGACGAGCGGGCCCTCGCATCCAAATGTTGATGCTGAGTCCCCCTCACATGAAATGGACTCTGATTGAGTCCTGCATAAGTTCTCATTTGGGCAAATTCCCTCCGTAGGATTTCGCCAAGCTACACCCTGGAATTGGGCGGAAACGGCTGACTCAAAAGCCAAACGGGCGACTGGCTGTTTGTCTTTTTCGGGGCATGCTAATTTCATCTCAATTGTTGGGGACGGATGACGGAGGTAAACTTCGCACTCCTGAACGAGTTGAGGGCGAGGGCAATTTGGGAGCCCCAAAAGCACAAATTTCCATCCGAATCAACACACCTGCAACACGTGGTACATTTTGGGGCATGTGGAAGCCCCCAAATTGTTGATTGATTGGTCATCGGAAAAAAAACGGTGATTCCAAGAAGGCGTGAAAATCCTACAAATGTTCTACGACCGCATTTTGGGGACTCAACGTCACTCCGCGGTAGTAAGGTGAAGCAGAAGTGTACTTTTGGTGCATTACCGCCACCTTGTGGAGCATGCGAAAAAGAAAGTGGCCGCTGGCAGGCTTGCTTGACTGCGTCTCCTTTCATTTCTTTTTCGGCAGCTGGCAAATACTTTGGGCGGAAAGAAGGTGGCGGCGATGCACTGAAGACGATTCGAGGAGGGGGACTTCGGGGGCCAGCCCGAGCTCAAATTTTAATCCACCCAAGTGGCACCCGAGTCCAAGCGGCGGGCATCCACCATTGCCGACTCGGACCAGAAGGTGACTTGTCGTCACCAATGGCCTGCACCAACCTGCGGTGGGGATGAGCAGCTTGCAGGGCAGGGCCAGAGGCGTGATGGCGTGCTGGTAGACCAAGGCCGACAGACAACCTGGAAGCGGACAAACAAAAAGTCGGTTGCTCGTCTTTACGCACATCAACGCGGAATCCAACCCGCGAGTCGATCACATCAAACTTAGGGCACTGCCGTGCGTCTCGGAGAAGCGAGCGTGTTTTTGCAAAAGGCAACGGGCGAGCACGTTTCCACTCACCGAAGTACGGCTCATTGGGACAACCCTTGAGTTTGACTCCTTTCGGGCTGCTCTCAATCAGGAAGTGCCGCACCAGCTCGTTGGTGATGTCGCCTGCGGGACCGACAACAACAACAACACCACTGAGAGCCGACGGCGTCCGTGACGGTCGACGCGGGACGAGCACAAACGAACGGCAGCTTTGCTCTTTCCTGACCTTTCTTGTTGGGGTGCGCCGATGGCGGGGGAGAGGCCACCTTCATGGCCAGGCCATAAGCCCCCTTGAAGGAGTGGCTATCCCGGATGACAAAGGCCCCGGGTTCGCGTTCTCTCAGCACGCCGATCGCTAGAACGCAGCGGAATGTTTGACACTTTGACGTCTGGAGATTTTCTCCATTCGTCCCTTGGCCTTTTGTCTACAGTCTGCGCTGCCGCGTGGCTTACCTTGTTCTCTGGATATGTCAGGCTTGTACCAGAACTTTGACGTATCTTGGACAAACTTGACGTTCAGCCTGCTCTCGGGACCGCCATCTGCCAACACACACGTGACAGTCTCGGTAGGACTTGCGGTGTGCCTGTGGTCTTTGCGGATGCCGGCATCAAGAAAATGACATTTCCGTCTGATTCAAAGCTTGGAGAGTGACAAAAGGAGTCGGATCGGTCGGCTTGCAGCACTGGTACCGGTATCAAGGAGAACACACAACGGCTGGCTACGAGTCGACGTTTTCTGCCAATATCTGTCCCCTGCAAAGTAGAGAAGAAGGTGCGCTCAGAGAATCTCCTTACCGGCCATGTTGAAGCGCGAAAAATCCGAGAGGGTGTGGAAGTAGCCGGGATTGCTTCCCGGGCTCGCCGGTGACACGACCTTTCCGTTCAAGGAGCCGTAAGAGGGCGTCGCGTTTGGTCTGTCGCCACTCGACATGCGCCTCTTTTCCGGAAGCTGAGGTTGAAAAGTCGGCGTCGCGCTTCCCTGTCGGAAGAATCCCGCGCCCACGGCCGTCATTCCCGTGTCCTGGTACAGTGCGGGGCAAACGGGGAAGGAGGGGGTCGGCGGTCCCTGGCAGCCCGAGGAACTGCTCTGCCTGGACAGGTTGCCGTGCCGCTCGTCCGGCGTGGTGTAGCCGCTGTGCGTGGCGTGGCGGTCTAAACCGGGGCTCCGTTGCGACACCGACGGGTGACGGCCCAGCACGGGACTGCCGTGCGATTGGGAAACAGACGGATGCCTGCTGAGCACGGGACTGCTTGGCACGGCTTGTCCCAAGGACGGTTGTCTGCCGAGAATCGGGCTCCCTTGAGACTGCTGCCCCGTCGAGGCCTGTCGGACGAGTACTTGACCGCTCTGACTACCCTGAGACTGATGGCGTCCGAGGACGGGACTGCCACTGAACTCCGGTCCGCCTGTCTCAAAGCCGTTCACCCCTGAGACTTTCTGAGCCATGATGTGGCACTCCTGATAAGCGCCCGGGTGCTTGTCCAACGCGGCGCCGTCAGTGGAGGTCAGGACACAAGCCCGCTGACTTCCAGGGCCCACCGCAGTCTTGGAGGCCTCCGGGCAGGAGACTGCACTGCTCCTCGTTTGGGTGCCTGGCCCACGCCCGGACGGTGTTGGAGTGGCGATGCCGAGGTAGGAGCACGTCGCAGAAAGGGAATCGAGACCAGCGGAATCGGGGGAAGCGGACACTTGGTATGAGGCCGTTGGAGTGGAGTACGCGCTCACTGCCGCCTGCGCGTGCAGACTGGAATCGGTCGCGGCTTGGGACGGAGTGCTCGAGTCGCTCTCTGCTGAGGCCGGATCGCTGGAAGCCAATTGAAAGATGGCCCTTTTGTCATCAGACAGACACGCCGCCAGTTGCTTTCTGCATTGAAACAGAAGGGGGACCTCTTTTCATGAAGTAGCCGCGGACTAAAAAGGCGTGCGCATGTCTCGTACTCACCCCCGTGAGCTGTGGACGGGGCTGCTGCCGGACAGTGGCGAGTTGAGGGCACGGGAAACGGGACTCGGACTTCTCTGTGGCTCTGGAAGGCTCCGGGCCGCGGCGGATTGCTCTTCGCCCGCGACGGCTGACCTCGCAACGGACTCCACGTAACTTCGGGGTGCTGAAGGTGACAGAAAGGGGGTTCGTTATTGTCCTTTTGGGTTTGCCTTTGGAGAAGAGCATGCCATGGAAAAATGGGAGACTGAGTCATTGTGGTACTGGACAGCATGAATGACGTTTGGCTGACATGGCATGATCACTTTCGCACCTCGTCGAAGAGGCTTACCGTCTTCGTCCGGAATGCGCTCGTCATCTGAGGGGCATCGTTGGAAACAATTCAGAGAAACAAAAACTTGTAAGGGCCCCAGCGACTCGAAGTTTTGAACGCTTGAAAACAGACGATGAAAATTTGAGGAGCGAGGCGGAGCCAATTGTCTCGCACGATGTTGAAGGGTGGGGGAGCGCTTCATCTTAGTTCACAAAATACTTCATTCCTGCAACATTCTTGACTTTTGTCGTCATGATGACATTCGATTCAAAACAAAATTCAAATTGGGAACACAGGACGGGTTGTTTCCAGCCACGAGAAAGCGAGCGTGCCGGGAGAGACGGCAAACTGCACGCAGAACCGTCCCAACCTTGAGTCAAACCAAGAACCTGTTAGCATGATGCAGACATGCTAAACACACCTCCCTGCAGGTCCGCTCCTCACATTAGCCCGTCAGTAAAGACTTAAAGCTCAAGTTCAAGCTTGAGCGGGGTAGCGGTTAACTCATGAGAGTGTACAGAAAAGAGTGAACGGTTCAAGTACTGAAGGATTTAAGATTGCTTCGCAATTTCACTGTTGTCCGCAACGTTTGCATTGTAACACTGATCACAATGGAGGTAAGGTTACGACAAACCTGAGCCGGTTTGATTGAGCTGGAGATCGGCCGGGTTGTGGGGTTTTAAGCCCAATGCCGACAGTGGCGTCTTGGCAAGACCCGGAGGGGAGCGACCTGTAAACAAAGGGAA